TACGGTAGCACTCGTTTGCCGGCTGTGTTTTCGAAAATTCTCCTTGAAATACGGTGGCCTAACTTTGTGTGAAAATTCGGCCACAACTTCAATTTTTTTGCACAAGAATAATATAGGGCTCTCGAGAACTTTTATCTATACAATAAATAAATTATACACATAAATATCTATATTTTCTCTCTTTTCTACAGCGGTTTTAATACATACACAAGATTAGAGAAAACTTTGATTTTTTTGAGAAGCTATAGGAATGACCACGCAGTTAATCAAGCTTAAGCTTGGGAGTATTGACGAACTCTTCGCCATTTAGGAATATGAACATCATACAGACGAAGAAGATGATCAACCAGAAGAGTGTAGCAGTTGCATTATCTGGAAATATGATAATTAGAGATCAGGATAAACGCTTATCATTTCCACCTGCTACTAGGAGACACAGAATCGTCATTGACATGGCAAAGAGAGCGGCGATGAGAGCAAGACCATTTTGATCAGTAGACAGGATTGAAGTTTCAAGAGAGTTTGGAAGATCAGACGAATCAACTAGGAAGTTTCCTAAGAACAAATCAATAGCATCTTGCCGATAGCCATCCCCAAAGTTATTTCGAACGTATCGGGAAACAGCGTTCACTCCGTCGTTCATTGCACCAAGATAAGTGCGTTTTCCGAGACGAGTGAAATCGGCTTTCAGAGCTCCGGTTCCTGCGTACTGACGACTACATTCGTCTCCATTATCGGCCCATACTGAAAAGAGAACGTTTCGATTTTAAAGGATTTAGCAAACTCACGATGCTTGAATAGATTTTCCAGCAGCGGAATATCCTGCACTTTCTGTTCCGGATACAAAATTCCGAGCATCCTCAGTTGTTCAGTGAGAGATTCTCGCGCCAACATCGACTGCACAACATTGGTACGATCTAGGCAGTCCATGCAGTTGGTACGGAAGAAACCTTGTTGAAAACGGCTCGACTCAATGCTATTTGGTGAGAGATAGAAATATCCGAATTGGGAGATCTCCTGGCTGAGCTGCTCTCGAAGAAGATCTATTCGGTGCCACTGCATAGCATGACATTCCTTGTGGAAATCGAATTGATGATATCTAGAATTCAAAAAAGGATGTTACATATAACAATAACTTTTCGGATTACCTGACAAAGTCAATGTTAGCCTGTCTAGCTATTCTCTCCAATTCCCCACCAACTTTCTTCTCTCTTCCTTTCTGATTGACCAGATTCACAATCACATGTTTCCCACCGTAGTGTTGTTTATGCCAACCGAACGTTCGAGTAAATGCAGCAAGTTGGTCATCCGTTGGTTTTATGGTAGGCATCGGTTGCCAGCGAAGATTCGGTTTTTGTGCCCAGAGAAGAGGAATCGAACCACGAAGTTGAACGAAAGACGTCAGATGCTTATCGGGAGTATCATACTCCACTATCTGCTCAGTTTCTACATAGTTAGCAGCATGGCCTTCCGCATCTACTCCGCGTTTGTAGAATCGAACTCCGGCTCTGAAACAGAAGAAAGGGTCTTGGAACTAAATAAATAGGATTTTACCTGTAAATGCTCCTTCTAGAAATAATGGTAAGTTTGATCTCTTTTCCATTTACATTAACTCTATTTTGACCGATGAATCCATGAATGACGGGAAGTGTGTATCTTTCCGCACCTGGGACTTGTCGTATTTGCGATAGCAGATGACCATTCCACACGAATCTTTCGCTTGATCTATCCAACATGCTTCGCGTTTTGAACAGCGGAACCGCGTTTTCCTGAAGCCATTGAAAAGTGCGCGAGATATCGAGAGTTGTCGAGTAGTAAAATCCGCCGATTGAGAGCACATGGGTCAACATATCTGTGAACATTCGATTGTACCGAATCTGCTTCTCAGTCAAATGAAGTGTGGTCTTTTTGTACGGAATAATCTCTGTATCTTGAATGGTCCATATGTTGTGATTGTTCACTTGACCAATAAAAGAAGCTTTAGTGATGACAATGAGAGCATAACCAGAGACTAATTTGATGGTTCCCAAAATCCCATAAATGAACTTTATGTCGGTGTCGGCTATAGGAACTCGTTGCTTACGGGAATCTGCAAAATATCAAATCACTAAGATCAAGATGCAAATATGCTTCTTACCAACAATTCTCATAACATTTGTGTGCCTATCGATTTCCAAGTAGTGTTTCGAAGCAGCTCCACCTCCTAAATCCGTGGGTTCCAGGAAGAATTTCTCTGGGTGTGAGTACAAGTTAAAGCTCTCGTAGATGTCCGTGCTCAGCAGACTGTCAACCATCTCGTGAACTAAAATTTGAAACGATCTTGCTTCTTGTTTTATTTTTAAACGAGAACAACGGAAATATTATCGAACGAACGAAGAAGCAACAACAAAAGGGTTGGAAAATTGTAAAGATTCCTTTTCAAACTGTCATTCGTCATATTTTTCCCTAAAACATATTGGTGTATTTTGGTTTATTTACCAACAATTACTTTTTATCGTAACAATCGAGACATATGCTTTTTTGAGCATAAAAACATAAGATGAGGTTGAAACTCAAAAAATTATAGATTTTATTAGTTCAAAGATAAAAATGAATACTTCTAAAAAAATAGTCTGAAGAAATCAAGAAAGATGAGAAAAAAGAAACAAGAAAAAGAAACTGAAAAAAAAACTTTCACAACGACACTCCGAAATAACGCAGAGTTGGCTGTCACCGTAAATCGACACATGCACCATATCACCGAGGAATGAAAAAGAAAAAAGAAATGTTGCTGATTTCATGAAAAAAAATCTCCAGAAACCTTTTCTATAATAGTTCGAAATCAAGATGAAGTCGTGGAATGTACATGGCCGAAATTTCAGAAGCCGCACGGCCACGGCCATGATGAAATATTTTTCTCCGCTCCCTTTGCAATTTTGTTTCTTTGTTTCCACTATAGTGAATATCTTTCGAAATTTTTTCATCATCATTTTTCAGAAAATGGCTCTCACCACTCGAGTCCTTCTTAATTCATCTGCTCTCTTAAGGTAATCAATGAAAATCTCTTTTGAGACCTATTTCTATTCTTTAGAAGTTCTACACTTTCTCTCGCTGTGACGTCATCTCGACAAGCTCATGCTGCTCATAATACTGTCATCAATTTCGTGCCACAACAGGAAGCATGGGTTGTTGAGAGAATGGGAAAGTTTTACAAGATTCTCGAACCGGTAAGGATCTCATCTAAAGAATTTAACTTCAAATAATATATTTCAGGGACTAAACTTTTTGCTCCCAATAATTGACAGAATCAAATTTGTCCAAAATCTTCGTGAAATCGCAATCGAAATTCCTGAGCAAGGAGCTATTACGATTGACAACGTACAGCTTCGACTCGATGGCGTTCTCTATTTGCGTGTTTTTGATCCCTATAAGGCATGGCTAATGTTTACTGCATTTGTTAATTTTATTATATTATTAAGGCCTCGTACGGTGTCGATGACCCAGAATTCGCAGTAACTCAATTGGCACAGACAACCATGCGAAGCGAAGTAGGAAAAATCAATTTGGATACAGTATTCAAAGAGAGAGAACAGCTCAACGAAAACATTGTGTACGCTATCAACAAAGCCTCGGCTCCATGGGGAATTCAGTGTATGAGATACGAAATCAGAGATATGCACATGCCAGCGAAGATTCAAGAAGCAATGCAGATGCAAGTAGAAGCTGAGAGAAGAAAGAGAGCAGCGATTCTCGAGTCTGAAGGAGTCCGTGAAGCTGCCATTAACAGGTAATAAGCTCAAAAAAGAATGGAATTCATGTTATCCATTGTTTTTCAGAGCCGAAGGAGACAAGAAATCAGCTATCCTTGCATCAGAGGCTATCCAAGCGGAGCGTGTAAATGTGGCTAAAGGAGAAGCAGAAGCTGTCCTCTTGAAAGCTGAATCCCGTGCGAAGGCTATCGAGCGTATCGCCACTGCACTCGAAAAGGATGGAGGAGCAAATGCAGCTGGATTAACAGTCGCTGAGCAATACGTCGGCGCATTCGGAAATCTCGCCAAGGAATCGAACACGGTTGTTCTACCAGCAAATCTCAGCGATCCGGGAAGTATGGTCTCACAAGCTCTTGCCGTTTACGACTCATTGAGCAAAAAGAAATAGATTAAATTGATACATGATTTTGTAGTTTTTATCACTGGTATTTAGTAATTGTGTAATTTGTCTTCCTTTACGTCTCTTTTCTGAAAATCTCCCCTTTTTTTTGTGAACCAGGTAATTTGTTTATGTAATTGGTTGATTTTTGAGTTTCCGGATGAATTATTTATTTATAAGATCAAGAATTAACTTTGACTCGCATTCCTCTAAACTGTGGAAACCGTTTTGAAAGCCAATCAGCGTCTGGACTCCGTCCAGTTTTATTGTCATTCATCATTTCTCTGGTGCAAATGACTGTTCCGAAGTCGAATGTTTCAAGCACTTTGTTGGCTGGAAATTCAATTTTGAAGATTGTCATCTAGTAATCCTTCACCTATAACCATGGGACTTTTCGAAATTTCTTGAAGATATTCGACTCCTAGAACACAAATCGAGTGTCGAAGCCAGTGAGATTTACATTCGGCGTTTGGTCCATCGGGTTGATTGAATTGCCAGTCAGTGAATCTTGTCAATTCATCTTCTCGGGAATCAGTAAAATCAACTTCCACTTGCCCATCCAAACCCAAATAGTTCTCATAAAGTGTCATAACCATCATCTCATCAACTCCGAATAGCTAAAAATATGGCTCCTGGGCGTTTCAGAACCCGACGTTTCGGAACCACGACGTTTCAGAACCCGACAGTTCAGAACCCGACAGTTCAGAACCCGACGTTTCAGAATCCGACGTTTCAGAACTTTTCTGCATTTTTGTATAGTGGTTTTTGCGCACCAGATGAGCATTGCTCATTTCAATTTTGCGTTTTTCTGCTTTTTTGTTCATTATCATCTACCGTACTCCAAATAATGATAGGTTCACACTGGGAATCTCTCAAAAAATCGAAAAAAATGAATTTTCAAAAAACGATGTCATTAACAAAACCATTCAAAATGAGACTTCTATTCGGCGGCAAAATTACTGCGTACTTCTAGGCATCGTTCTTGAAAAGTTCAATTTTTTCGATTTTTTGAGAGATACCCAGTGTGAACCTATCATTATTTGTAGTACGGTAGATGAGAATGAACAAAAAAGCAGAAAAACACAAAATTGAAATGAGCAATGCTCATCTGGTGCGCAAAAAACACTATACAAAAATGCAGAAAAGTTCTGAAACGTTGGGTTCTGAAACGTCGGGTTCTGGACTGTCGGGTTCTGAACTGTCGGGTTCTGAAACGTCGTGGTTCCGAAAAGTCGGGTTCTGAAACGCCCAGGAGCCAAAAATATACATAGGTAAATTTAATATATAGTGGCGAAGTTAGTGAGTGTCACTCTACACTTTTGTTCATAACTTTTCTCAAACTTGTCCAATCATTGAAAACTTTTTTGTTAAATGTAGCTGAATTTCCAACAAAACGACGTTGTATAAGTTTTTTGGAACTCAATCAATTTTTGTGTCTTCTGAATCTCCACAGATGTGACGATGACTCCAGAAGAAAAAAATAATTTTCCGTCAGAATTTATTTGAAGATTGGCTTTGTAATGAAAAATGTTTGGTGTAGATAAAATATATACAGAAAAAAAAAAGTATAGAGTGACACTCACTAACGTTCGCCACTGTAATAGTCCTCAAAGATACTCACACTTTCATTATCAAATCGTTTTATAACCATATTCAAATTTAATTTTTCAAACATTGATAGCACGAAAACTTTTGAAAGAACCACTTCATTTAAACTTTTGCGAACTACTAACTTTTTGTGAAGAATTTCATCTGGTACCTCGCTTTCTGAAAATACTATTTCAAATTATCTGAAACAAAGCCACACCATTTTTGAATAACATCATTCCAACTGGAGTCCAATCCGCATTAGTATCATATCTGTCAGTAAGGGCATGATCGGAACCCATTATACTGGTTTCATTTAGAAGTTCACTGAGGTCTGATAGCTGTTCAGGTGTCTTGATTATTAGGTCAAAGTTCTGAAAACATTAGGACTCTATGTGTTTCAAATTTGATCTAACCTGAAGAGTGATTGCGTGACTCCAGTTCTTTTCTAGGATTCTCTTCGAACAATCGAAATGTGCTTCGTCTTGTTTGTGACCAGATCTATCGAAATCGTATTCCTTGTCCAGAACAATTATATTATCCAAACAATTCGACAAAACTCTCATAGACTTCTTCAGTCTTTCGTCACTTTTCAGGTCAATAGCATAACAATAAAAATGACTTGGATGATAGATCATTGAGAGAAATGCTTCTTGAAGTTCATATAGCTGATAGATATTTCTGACGAAAGCAATCGATCTTTTCAAATGTTTAAATGGTGGTAGATCTCCGAAAAGTCTATTCTTTATCGAATCACAATCCATTTGTAAACCTAGAAGTTTGTCTTTATGCAATCGCAGTTTTCCACTGATCACATAGGAATCAATGGCTCCTTGATTTCCATTAATGAATTCTGTGCAGTTTAGGTATCGGCTTTCATATCTGAACATTTAGGTTCTTACGAATTGTCTTCTTATTCTGGTACAAAAAATTGGAGCTGTGGAAGAGACCGTGGATGAGGGTCCCACAACAGAGATGTCCGGAATAACTTTTTTGAGAAACGGAATCCGGAATCCGGAATAAAATAATTTTCTCGGAATCCGGACGAATAAAAATTTCCCGGAATCCTGAATCCGGAATACGGAATGAAAATAATTTTTCGGAATACGGAATCCGGAATTTTAAGTTTTTCAAATGGGCATCTTTTTGCAGTTTTAGACGCGGAAGTTCAAAAAAGCCAGATAATCTTGCAATTTAACAAATATGCTTAAAATCCGGATTGAAAATTTTCCTCGGAATCCGGGCAGATGAAAATTTTCCGGAATCCGGAATACAGATCTAGAAGTTCTCTATTTTCAGAATCTCAATTTCTGGGCCCATACTCCGAGGATACATCGAGAGTACATCATAAACCGATATCTGAGGAGTTTATTCTTTTCAGATGTTATATACATCCAGCGAGAACTCAGTGGAGAAGTTCAGGAATTCACTGAAATTACTCTTCTTTGCGAGATTACTCTATGTTCCAGGTCCTTGAAGTCAACGAAAATGTGTATAAAAAAATCCTGAACTTCTTATGTTTGGAAAATGAACCTTTTCTGTAACATTGCCACAGATCCCATTTTTTGTACCAAAACAATAACTTACTTTGTGAAATAATTATCTTGAAACCTGGAAACCCGTTTTATAGAAGATGATTTATTCCATTCTGGTAACCGAGTGTTTTCAGACTTTACAGATTTCCTAAGATTCTAAATTTGATTATTTCGATAATCTTTAAAAAAATATAAACAATGTCTTACCAATGTTCCTTGGAAGAATAATACAAATAAAATGAAGAAAACCAAAAGAATAAGTTGGATCAAAACAATTTTAGCGCTGAAACTAAGCTGCCCATTCGCTTCCGAATCGTCTTCTTCGTAGTCCCATTGATTTTTCAATTCGATGTACTTCACATTTTTCATGATGAAGTTTCAAAAAAGGAAAAGTGATTGACAATGGATGCACCTCCCTTGAATGGATTTGCATCCCCACACGAGCCTTTGGAATGCGAAATTTCGAGTTTTTTGTTGCAGGAAAAAAATCAAACGAAAATTCATTAATATCATGGTAGTACAGGCAAATATGATGAATGCATGAAAGTGAAATTAGTTCGATATATTTTACAGAGATTCAAAGGGATATGGAAGTGATATATAAATCACTTCAGAGATTCAAGAACAAAAGACGGCATATAAACCGTCAAAGAAATGTCAAAAACCAATAACTAGGACCACGGGAAAACCGTTGTCTTCTGACTCTGTCCATCCTTCAATTGGCTTTCCACTTCTTCCAGAATCCCACTTCCAGTTGTGACGTCAACTTGTACTCGTAGAGTCTTCTCGTTGCACCGTGGACGTTTAATGATCTTGCACACCATCACTTTTCCTTGATACCAACGAAGACGGTATTCAGGTTCGACGAGTTCGAAGTCTTCTGGTGCTGTGTATTCCACGTATCGGGTACCTCCGTCACGATAGCTGCATGCAGATCCAGGAGGAATGCTGAGGAATATTATGAGAAATATCGAATAGATAAATTCTTACTCTTTGAACACTTCAGGGCGACAGAAATCTTTTGTGACGTACCTCCCGTTTCGGTCGAACCTTTAAAAAAGTTGATAACTGGCATAAGGCATAAGCCACTCACATTTCTGTATAATACGTTCCATTCTCACAATGTAATTCGGTCCGAACCTCTCTCCGTTTCACGCTAATCAATGTAGTATTGTTTCCAGGTCTCCAAACTTCTAATTGTCTTTGAAAGAAGTAAATGAAAGATATATTATACTGAAGAAGGTTCACAATGATGGATTTATCGACAGCGATACGGTAAATCTCTACAGAGTTTTGACGATTCATCCATCTAAAATCTCCATTTGAGTATTCGAAAAGCAATCCATTTGCGATTGTACTTGTCACTCGTGTAGTTTCGCCAATCGAATCACGATACATGGTACTTGTTCCGAATCGGCTTTGTTTAGTTTCGTACGGTCTCTGAAACACAACAGTTTGAACTAAAAGCCTGTAATAGAAACACTTTGGCACAATTCATTTAATTTCCTAACAAAAATTATAAAAAGGGTCTTTCTGATATAGGTCTTACAGTACATGAATTAGGTCAAGTCGATAGTATGGAGACCTTTCTTACACATATTTTACGCAAACAAAAAAGTCACCATAATGAACTCTGGCTGCATTGTTTCTTCACCAGCTTCCAATGTCTGTTCTTCAGGTTCATCATCTGCAAAACTGACTGTTCTTCCTTTTCCAGTGGATCCTGTTTTCATGCTGCTCGCTAGAGATGACACAGATGGAAGTCTCGAAGAAGCTGCCGATCCGGTTGCTATTCCAGAAGCCGCTGCTTTTCGATTCATCGCAACCTTTGCAAACATCTCTTTCTCTCTATCATCCTTCTCTTTTTCTGTTCGCAATTGTTTGATGTGTTTCTCCAGTCGTTGGCACGTAGCTCTATTGCGATTTAAATCCTTCGTTAGCTTCTCATTTTCTTCAATGAACTTCTTCATCTTTTCCTCCACAGCTCGTTTATCTTGACGAAGTTTCGCGTTTTGAGACTCAGAATTTGACAATTTCTCTCGGAGTTTAGCAATCTGCAATTAAGACAAATTCATTTCAAACATGCTAAAAAATACTATACCATTTGTGTATGCTCTTTTTCTCTTTCTCCGATCCCTTTCTGTAAGATTTTCCTATCTCTTTCTATGTCTCTTCTCTCTCGTTTGAGCCGTTCTTCTTCCGATGTATTGTCTTCTTGAATCATCTGCATTTTCGATTCGAAATCTTCCTCTAATTCTTTCATCCGTTTCGCATAAGCTTCTTCTTGTTTCTTTCTCGTACTCCACACACATTCTGATGCATAATCCAAATGAGCGATAGTGTCTCTTAACTGGAGCATAAGATTATGTTTCTGACGCTGTTCTTCTCGATTTCTTCGATGAGGACGTTGAATTTGAAGAGGTTCGTCATATACGTGTTCGGAAGGAGCTTTCCTCTCTGGCACATTCTCTTTTTGACTTGGATGATGATGTGCGGGCAGCATAGGTTGCCTTCTCGGATTGTTCAGAAGACTGATGCCAGTTTGCGCTTCGTTTTGTACTGAAAGTTGTAATGTACAAATTTGAGTAACGAAAAAAATTCCTACCCATCATATTCAAGCGATTACCAGCAAGTGGTCGAGCTTGTGGCGTATCTAGTGATCCAGAAGAAGCAAGAGATGATAAAGTTTGAGGAGAATGATTTCGTGGAGGAACTAATGGAGGCGGAAGGAATGTCGGATCATCAGACAAATCATCGTGACGCAGAGATCCTTTTGGAGTAGACTGATAAATGGGACCAGAGATATTCGATGAATAGGAGGAAGGCGTAATCGACACAGACTTCATCTGGAACACAGTTCATTCGAAAAATGAGAGAATCGATGCTTCCCTACCGAATTGATGAAATTCGCTTGTGCTGTAATTCGATCAGCTTCTGCGCGCAACTGTGTTGCCTCTTCTGAAACTTTACTGCACGTTTCTAGAACAGAACTACTTCTATCGCCAGGAACGTATGACTGCATCGCGGAGACTACTTCAACATTGTCTTCTTCGCGACGTTCATTGCTTTCCGATCGATTCCCGCTATCATGACTTTCTAACACCGAAGGCTGATCCAGCGGAAGTGACGCAGTCGTTGGAGGTCGTGTGTCGTCGTCGTGGGGGATTCCACTGTCAATTGTTCGAGCAGAACTCGGAGCAGAATTCTATTTGAAAAATAGGATTGTTGACTTCAAAACAGGAAGAAAATTACCGTCGGAGTAAATCTGGGCAAGTTGATGGCAGGGCTTGAAGTAAGTGGTGCAGATCTTCTAGTCTTCAAAAAATAATTTTTCAGAAAATTATTGTTTATCTCACCATTCTGAATCTGGCAGTTCCTTCACCTTTCCGCAAATATGCCCTTTTCGGTTTCTGGCTGCCTTGATCCTCGTCGCCATTTTCTGATGGCAGCATCTGAAGTGTTGAACTAAAATTGTATTGCTTAGAAAAAATAAGATTAGAGAGAAACTGATTGATTAGAACGTAGGAATACACAAGTTATTAGATTCACAGACACCAATGGAAAATGTGTTTAAACCAAAAAACTGAAAAATTTTAATTAGAGCTTACTATTGGAAACGCTCAGACACTAAAAATTCGGTCTTCGATTAGGCATTTTTGCATATTTGGTAGCCGAATTGTTTGCCTTCTGCCGGTTCTTCATCTGAAGACGCAAAAGATTTCTAAGAAGAGATTGAGGTATAATTGAAGCGTTTTGGCAAGATTAAAAGAGAATTGTATGAATTCCTCAGCGGGGTGCGACGAGAGAGCACTGAAAAACCGGAGAACGCAGACATTTTATTGTACTTCCCGCCGCGGTGCGACTCGGTATTCTAGGCCACGACCGCGATAAATTGGAGGGAAACTGAGAAATTTGAAGAAATTGAAATATCAAGTCATTGTGAACTCTGAGATTCGACGGGAGAAAACTGGGAGAGAAAGGGGGTATTCTGGGAGAGAAAGGGCTTATTAAATAAATCTCAAGGAAGAGTACACATCGCCCGCTAGAGGACATAAATGTACTATGAACAAAACGGTATGAACACTTCCATTTTGCAGACTTATGACCTAATACGAGAGCACTAAAGAAGGTTTGCAGGAGAGTTCCGGATATCGTGATTCACTTCGAAGTTCTGAATACTGCGATACCGAAGCTGAGAATAAGAAGTTAGCTCACATTTCTATTATTTCATGAGGTTATTTTTTTACTTTTTAGTTATTTATACTTATATTCTTCCTATTCATTCGATTCAATAAATATTTTTGTTAAATAGTTTGATTTGATTGTTAAATAAGGGGCGAAAATTTAAATTTCACTGAAAGCACACCACCCTGAGCTTCCAAAAGTCACCAGTTGCGCGTCATATTGCGCAGGCGAATCGCGCCAGAGGTCCTCTTGGCGCAATAATGGGGTTATTCACCAAAATGTAGAGAAATGCAGAGAAAATACGAGAAATTCCGTAGAAATTCAG